TTTTAGTTTGTACAAAAGAGGAAAAAATTTGAAAATCTGGGTAAAAATGGTTCTATTCAGCCAAGACTGCCTATTAATTCATTTTTTCCAATGTGCATGCAAGGAAAAAAAATATAATCGTTGAGTATGCTTCTAGCTGGTTCTCGTGGGATGTTTCTTATAGCTTCCCTAGTGGCTGAAGCATTCTTGTTATTTAAGAGTTAAGATAACTTAAGCTGATAATAAACTTATGGGATTGTGAATCCATTTAGCTTGCTGATCAATGCACTGATAATTTGTAAATTCAAAAAGCTATCCAAGATGAGATGTCATCAGATCATGTTACAGAAGATCCAAACACATACAAAATAACAAGATAACATTAGTGTTTCTCAATTGGAATGTAAAATAATAAATATTAGTGTTTTAAAAGACAAACCCCAAATGTGCGCTCTATAATATTTCTACAAGAAGAATGCAAATAGTTAAATTTTTTAATTCGCCCTCTTGGTTCTCGCAATTGTCTTGTTGCACCGCGACGGAATTGTGCTAGGTGATATCTCACATTATCTCCTTTGTATGTAGCCATATATCCCTTCATATGCGGATATCCTGCATCAACTAGATAATACTTATTTCCAATTAGACGTGGAAAGTTGAATTCTGATCTACGAAGGGTCACACCAAATATACGACTATCGTGAGCTGCTCCTTCCACCCAGCCCATGCAAATATAAAACACATATTAAAATCTACGGCAACAAGAATATTTGAGTCGGATAACCTTTACGTCCAATATATGGTATCTCTTGACCTTGCGGTAATCTTGCTTTAACATGTGTGCCATCAAGTGCACCAATACAATCCTACACACATTTACATGTATAAATTTAACTTAAGTTAGTAATACTTATAAAAGTTAAGTTATAAGTTTAATAAAAAAGAATTATGTAAAAATATTTGTTACCCTAAATAAAGGGAGATATTGACCATTACATGGCTTGTGAGCTCCTGCGCCATCATTATAATTTTGATGTGGTATAATTATATCTCTTGCAAGTTCACAAATGACCTTTAAAGTACTATGAAAGTGTCTATGAATTGTTTCTCCCGAATGTTGAAAGATTTTCTGTATAAATCGATTTCCAGCTCCATGTGCACAAGTCATCAAGAACATGCCTAACATCTCGTGTATAGACATTCCACGTGTGGGTTTAAGCCCATGCTTTTCAGTTAAGTCATTCGATAGATCAACAAACACTGACTTCCTCAATCAAAAATTTTCATAACAACGAGTGTCGTTTCCTCTTAATATCTCTTGAATAAATACATTTCCAGAGCGACTAGATGTATGACAAGGTTCCTTGCATAGATATTTTTTGTAATACATCAAAATCAATTTACCTGCTATTTGACATAAAGTCGTCCATTCCTTCTCATCTTGATCCCTCTGTATTTCCTCCAATTCTTCTTCATCTTCATCGTCTGACGAATAACTTGGATAAGGATCTACTATGTCACTAGAGTTCGAACTCTCCATTTTACTGAAAATGAAAACATAAAGTTAACTGAATCTTTCTAAACATAACCTTAACTGAAGCTTTACAAACATTAAGTAAAGGGAAGCTTAACAATAGTAAGCTTAACAGAATTTTAATGATAGAAGCTCAACAAACAAAAGCTTTAATTCAATAAAAGTTTAATGATACAATCACAACGTCTAAACAAGAAGAAATATATAAAGTTTGCACATAAAACCATAATAACGTTTACACATACAACCACAATATTAGAACACGGAATACTAGAAAACTCAACCATAACGATCAATTATCCATTTTCCTTGAGGTATAACTGATAATTAAACTCTAACCAACACTTGCGAGCTTCATCAGTAGGCATCCCCAAAAATATCTGCCGGTTATTTTTCTTGCGGAATAAATTCATAGTAAAACTGTAAATTTTACTCCCAGCTAGAATATCAGGAATTTATCCCAATGTGCCAATACACTTCTCAATAGATGTCACGTCAACTGCAGGAGATGTAGTAGTGCTTTTGCTAGACATAAACTCTATGAGAGAGTGTATGTCCTCTTTTATTAATGTTGCAAATGTTTTTTTCTTACTCTTTCTTACTTGACTACTGGTGCTAACACCATCAGTTGATTTTTATCTTTTTAGTGATAACTCTAAAAATATAACAGAATTTATATTCTGTAGATCATCACTTTCATCGCTCATTTCATCATTAAGATGAATAAAGTGTTCTTTGTCACAATCATCAATAACATTTATTCCTTCTTCATCAAGATTAAGTCCAATACCGGATGATTATTCTTGATTTGCTGAACGTGCTCTTTCTCCTGTGGCAACAACATCAGCAAACAATGCATCGTAGCGAAACCATATGAGCAAAAGATCTTTGTTCCTAAATTTCTTATATTTTGCATTCTCCTGTAAAAAGAGAAAATCAAAACTACTTTAATCAAACTGATAAAATTAACAATTAAAAAAAATAAGAATTACACATATAATAATGTGAAAGATGTACCATTATTTTTCGGTCCCACCAATCATCATCTGCCATAATCGTATTTTTTGTGGCATCCCATCCTAAACTTGTCTCCCCTCTCATCAATTGCTTAAAAAGTATCCATTCTCCTTTCATGTAATCCCAATGATTTTTTATTTTTTGAATCATAGTCTTTTCCCGTCTTCTTACAGAACTCGTCAACAAGACTTTTCCACCCATCTTTATTTAAGTAAGTGTTTGGTATATTTTTTTTCTAACCTCTTGCTCACACAACTCAATAAATATAATATGTGTATCATCGTACCACTTAGCATTATCCGGCATAATTGAATATAAATAATCTGAAGAAAGTAAAGCAACCAAGAAGCTAAGACTAAAGTTGCATAATAGTAATACCCGTACTTTTGTAACTGCATGATCCATAAACATCTTAAGTAACAATTTTATTATTTTTCTCCTAAAAGGGGAGATAGAACTAAGAACTCAATTATTTCAAAGAGATTAATTATGATAACTGTTGGGTTTTATGGACTCTCCAATATGTACCATTGATATCATATCTAAGCTTTGTCCTCTTTCTCTGTTTCTACCTTTTTTCTACATTCTAGTTAAATAGTAGTATCTCTCCAACTGGTGAGTTTATCTCATGTTAGTGTTTAATAATGATACCATTTGGCTCTGATTATGTTCCCAAAATTAAGTAGTTTGGTTCGGTTAAAAAAAAACTAAACCTTACAAGCAAATGCATGCAGAAATGTCGACTATAGTTCTTGACAAACAAAAAGAAATTCTGTAAAGGATACGAATCAGAGTTATCACTACAAAGCCGCTCTTAAACCTATAGCAACCTAAAACAATGAGTACAAGTGTTACAGATCACTTTGGATCTGTAACAATGACATAAGTACCATTAGTATTAAGAATGCCAGCATTAACAAAGAAAAACGAGGCAGTGATGATTTGGTTAAGAAAAATATAAGTGCTTGATGACATGCTTATATGAACAACTTGCCAGAGGTGTTAACAGGCTATCAAGCACTTAGCTCCAGCACTCCTAAACTACATTTTTCTTCATTTTTATAAAAAGAGTCAACTTTGATAAATATCAAATATTCTACTATTTTCTTTGCTATAACACTAAAATGATGAAGCGGAATGAAGATGAAAGGAGCCAACAACCTAAAGCAAGATCGTCCTTGCATTTGTATAGTCAAAAATCAGTAAAATTTTCCAAATGAATTCAAACAAAAATATACAATAAGGATCGAGAAGAACTTACAACGATAATTGATTTCCACTGGATTGCTTGAAGAAAAGCGCAGAAAAATTAAAGATGAAGCAGAGATGAAGATGAAAGGAGGAACAGTAGTCTTCAAAGTGAAGAAAATAGGAGAAATACAATGTTTTAGGGTTTCTTTGACTGAGGGTAATTTTGGTATTATAAAAACTTATAAGGGACAAGCGAGTAATTTTTTTGGTCAAACCAAAATGGCTTTTAAGCCAAAATTAAAGAAGTTGGGGTCAGCCAACTTGTTGCTTTGGACTTTTTATGCACTTTTTAGCTTTTTTTAAGTAGCCTTTTTTTTTTTTTTGCCAAAAACTCTAAAAATTTAAAAAGTGTCCAAACACCCTCTTAGTCTCTACTTGAGAAAGAGTGACCTATTCTAGTAACTTAGCTAATAAGAAATTGGGCTAATTGAGATATTTATTAGCCTAATTAAATGGTCGAAACTAGAGATAGTAAGAATCCCACTTGAGCTCCAATCAACTGTTTTGGTTGATACTCATTTGGACTTGAGAAAACCAAATCGGGCAAAATCACTCTCTGAGCGAGAGATATTGAGTGAGTAATATAGAGCTGAGAGCTATAATACACCCCAATCAACAAAACGAACATTAACGTCTTTATCCCATTAAGCAAACACCTAGGTTATGGTAATAGCCCTAGGCCTTTAACCTATTTGGAAAAACCTCAAAAATATTTATCTCTAATCTATTTCCTTTAGCTTGCATTCATTAGAGTAAAAGTAGAAGTAGAAAACAAAACTTTGTTATGGAAGAAGATAACTCATTTGCTTGCTTCAAATATATACTCTTAATACCCTTTATAACTCCAGTGGATTCGATCCCGACTCATAGTTGGATAATTATTATTGCATACGACCGTATCATATCTCTCATTGAGGTGTGTTGTGGAAGTCATCAGAAGCCAAAACATCTAATTAAGTGTCAGCGGATCTTATCCATCCCACCACAACCTTCGGTGGTAACATAATTTTGGTTGTAGACACAAAGAACGTGCAATATTTTCAATTCACAGCATGCAAAGACTGTTGACAATTTTGTAGAAAGTTCACAAGTAACCTATGCCTGAACCACTTTTAAGCTTCCTTATCTATAAGAATAACACTATTTTCACAATGGATCAAGAAACCCCTCTTAAACCATATTTCCATTTCTCATAGCTCATGAACAACAACACAACATCATGGAAATATTAACGTTGTTTGTTTGCTTGATTTTGTCATGGATTTTCATCCATGGATTGAGGCAGAGGAACAGGAAAGGTCCCATACATTGGCCTATTATTGGGGCAGGATTAGAACAGTGGGTGAATTTTGATCGAATGCATGACTGGTTGGTCAAGTATTTGGCTCAATCACCAACTGTTGTTGTCCCAACGTGGTCTACAACTTATACTTACATTGCTCATCCAGATAATGTCGAACATGTTCTCAAAACTAACTTTGATAATTATCCAAAGGTCTGTGATCTTTTTTTTTTTTTTCATAATTCTCTCATGATTATCCAGTCAATTTAGTCGATTGAACTAGGAATATGGATTTAATCTCTTTGGAAGGATACCAAAATGAAAATTTGTAAAAATAAAATAGCACTGAATAGATAATACGTTTGTCGCTCATTATTTGTGTAATAAGGATTAGTTCTTGTTTGTACATTGTTATTCTTTCAGTACGGATTTATAATGTCCTAAATCAATTGATCAACCTTTGTGTTGGATGTTCAGATTCTTTCACGTGGTATTAGAGCAGAACTTTGGTAACCATAGTATTTTCATAGCGGTCTTCTCTTTACTTAATGTCTTGAGTTGTCCTGAAGATAGAATTTTTAGGACAAAATAAGTATCTCTAAATAGCATCCATGAGAATGACTGTCTGCGCACTTTCCCCCATCTTGTCTCAGTTCTGTCCATCGAGTCACTAAATTTGTTCTAGGCCCACTTGTACCGAGATTCTATATCTTCTTTATCCCATTTACATATATGGTTTTAGTCTAGCATGATAATGAATGATTGGTTTTGCTTTGTGGCAGGGTGAAGTGTATCATTCATATATGGAAGTTTTGCTTGGAGATGGCATCTTTAATGTGGATGGTGAACTTTGGAGGAAACAAAGGAAGACTGCTAGCTTTGAATTTGCTTCAAAAAACTTAAGGGATTTCAACACTGTAGTTTTTAGGGACTATACCCTTAAACTCTTTAACATTCTAATTCAAGCTTCTTTCAACAATAAGGAAGTAGACATGCAGGTAAGTTGAATTCTCTTGGACATGAAATACATTTTTTATTATTGTTGCTAAAGAACACATTCTTTTTACAGGATCTGTTGATGAGAATGACTCTTGACTCAATATGTAAAGTGGGATTTGGTGTAGAAATAGGAACATTGGACCCCAATTTACCAGAAAATAGCTTTGCACAAGCATTTGATGCTGCAAATGTTATCGTGACACTGCGATTTATCGACCCTTTGTGGAGGATCAAGAAATTTCTCAACATAGGATCAGAAGCTATCCTTGATCAGAGTATTAAAACAGTTGATGATTTCACATATTCTGTCATAAGAAAAAGGAAGGCAGAGATAGAAGCAGCTCCAACCAATGAGAAAGTAAGCTCATAGGAACGATTTTAGCTAAATAACTACTAAGCCTTTTAATTAGCATGCTGATGTCTTTATGATTTTTAACATAACCAGATTAAGCAAGACATATTATCAAGATTCATTGAGCTAGGAAAAGACCCTGAGAACAATATGACTGATAAAAGCCTGAGGGACATTGTCCTGAATTTTGTCATAGCGGGCCGTGATACAACTGCAACAACTCTATCTTGGGCTATATACATGATCATGACTCACGAACACGTAGCAGAGAAGCTGTACGCAGAACTGAAATCGTTGGAAGAAATCCGAGCTAAAGAAGAGAATGTGTCGTTGCATCACTATGACGCGGAGGATCCTGAATCAGTTAATCAGAGAGCAATCCAATTTGCAGGGCTTCTTAATTATGATTCATTGGGAAAATTGTACTACTTGCATGCTGTCATTACAGAAACTCTTAGGTTGTACCCCGCCGTTCCTCAGGTTAGTATACCTGATTTTTGTTGCATAAAGCAGAGAAAATTATGTGCACATTCTTGTCAATTGGTCACTAGTCATATATTTTTATTCATATATAGGATCCTAAAGGAATATTGGAAGATGATGTATTACCAGATGGAACAAAGTTAAAGGCTGGAGGAATGGTGACTTATGTACCTTACTCTATGGGCAGAATGGGATACAACTGGGGTTCTGATGCAGCTTTATTCAATCCTGATAGATGGCTCAAAGATGGAGTTTTCCAAAATGCATCTCCGTTCAAATTCACTGCTTTTCAGGTATATGTAATAAATTAAGTCTACGATCATAGCAGAGATTAAAATACAATTATAAACATAATTTGAGTTGGGGTTAGATATACATACCGTTCAACTCCGTTGATTCAATAGCAATAGCAAACGATAGTTAAGTTTGAGACCAGCTTCCATCGTCCAATAGCTATCACACTCTCATAATCCGGAGAGAACTAAACTGATGTGAGTCAACCACTACACAACGTATTTAAGAACAAATATGCTAGGGTTTTCTAATAGCTGGGGAAAGGGGGGTTGACCTCTATTTGTAGAGAGTGGCTACCCATCTCACTAATAGTTATTGGGTCCACACATACTATAAAATATTAATCAAACCTCTTATTTAATCCACCACTTGGGCAACGTCATTATCCGTTCAGGCAACAACTAATTAACGTAATTCCAAAATTCTAACAGTATAAAACAGAATATAGAACGATATTTTGCATGAAAATTTGTTTATATATACTAGCAATCTAAAGCAGCACAATGCATGATCTATTTGAATATCACATTCGTTGTCATGATTTTGTAGGGAGGGCCAAGAATATGCCTTGGAAAAGACTCAGCATATCTTCAGATGAAGATGGCACTTGCAATTTTGTGTCGATTCTATAAATTCAAGTTGGTGCCAGGGCATCAAGTGATGTACAGGATGATGACCATTTTATCAATGGCACATGGACTAAAGCTTACAGTTTCAGTCAGAGGCGGACCCAGGATTTGAGCATGACGGGAGCACCATTATATACTAATGACTAGCGATAAAATTTGGCGTACAACTCTTTGAGAACTTAATGATTATAATGACCTATTATTCAAGCATAAACGGGAAAAGAAGTTCTAAAGAAAAAAACACCGAATAGAGAGAAATTTCTTCGCAAAATGGATGTTATTGGAAAAGAAGGTATTTGATTAAGCATGTTTCACACTTTAAATTTCTAGTTTATTAATAAAAAGGGGGACGGTGATCAAAATGGCGTTCCAACTTTAAATTATCAAAACTTACTCAAGAAATCGAGATTAAAGGTATGTTAATAGTTAAAGAACCGAAGAAGAGTCTCAAACTCTTAGTTGCTATTATTGAGTCGGAGTCAAAGTAATTGTTGAAGAAGGTTGTGGCAGAAGAATATTTTTCTACTTGTGGAGCGATAAGTTGTAATTTGAGGCTTTCAATTTTAAATGAGGGATTTGAAAAAGAAAAATTAATGAAGTTGATTGTTATGTGTTTGTATTAAACTATAATTGAATTAAAAAAATATGAAAAATAAAGCAATTAAGAAAAATTAGAAAGGAGGAGGAGAGGCAGAAGGTGGGATTCGACCCCACAACATTCAGCAAAGAAGAGTACTTGTGCACCCAAGCAAAACACTTCGCCAGTCAGTACTTTAGTGGTTGGGGGCAATATTTAAGGATTTCATCTGCATATGTACAGATATATATAACATAAATATACAGAATATTTGTCGAGGCTAACGGGTCCCGTGAACCCTCAACTCACAATGTAGGTCCGCCTCTGATTTCAGTACGATCTTGAAATACAAATATGAACATCACATGCATCATGTAAATGTTTCTGCTTGCTCTACCATGGAACGGTTAAATATATAGATTTTAATTGCGAATTGTAAGTAACTTATATAGTTAAAATAAAGTCTTTCTTGGAGTCAGAACAAATGAAAGAATGTCACTACAGATTCATCATTGCATCTTTTTTGTTTTTTTTCCTACATGAGTTTAATTATTTTGTCATTGGCCAAAGGCATTGCTACAGGAACTATTGCTCAGGATTCCTTTCTAGGGGTGTGCATTCGATTTTGACCCTTATCGATAATTACTTATCGATTATCGATTTGTACATATGTTTATCATTACCGTTTCAATAAGGTTTTGATTTTTTCGATTTATCGATTTTTGGGGCTTATCGATTCGGTTATCGATTACACCAATAAGAAAATTTGTGGAATTCCACGGAAAGTATATCGCTATAAACACACCTAACTAATATGGACAAAAAGAAGCTAAAATAAAACGAACACCGTTTATGACATAAAAATTGTGTCAACAAGCACATGCAACGAAACTAATGTAAGAGATCAAATGTATGTCACCAACACTCCAACGGTATAAAAAAACAAAACAAAATACATCATCACGGCTAATTCTGTTTTCCATTAATTTGAACTTCATTCCCTTGAGTTTTAAATATGATCATTCCTTAAATGTGGTAGAGGAAATAATAGGGTTAGGGCCTTAGGGTAAAGGAAAGGGTATTATAGAATAAGGGTAAAAAAATATATATATAAAAAAAAAAAAAATCTTTTTAGTATCTTATCTGTTTATCGATAAACCGATAACCGAAGAGGACAAAATCGAAATCGAAATCGATAACTCGATAAGGAAAATTTCGAAATCGATAAACCGAAAACAAATAATCGATTCGATTTATCGATAAACCGATTCGAATGCACACCCCTATTCCTTTCCATATTTGTGAAACGATACAGTCATGTTGATAAGTTAAATAGTGGATACATTAACCACATTAATACAAGTTAATTACGACATGTTATGAAATCAGAAGTGAATTTTCTTTTTTGTTTATCATCTGGTATTCGAGTCACTGGCCGACTAATTAGGATTAGCATCGAGTAAGACCTTCCTATCAAGAAGTTTTTCATTCCCAAGGCTCAAACTCGATATTTCTGATTAAGAATGGAGGGATATTTCTAACTATCCCACAACACATCTTGGTGATCGATAAGTCAAAGGTGAATGTGATCTTATTATGTAGATATTTTAACTTTTTGCATATATATATATTATATATGCAAAAAGTTAAAACGTATATAGTTCTAGCAGAAAGTTGCAGATTCACTTGAACCTACAGTATCCACCCTGGATCCGTCACTACTAGAAATTCGGTAAATACCGACCAAAAAAACTGACCAACTTTGGTCGGTTATGGCCAATTGCCGACCAAAATACGACCAAATACGCTTGGACGGTATTTTGATGGTCGTTTTAATATACCGACCAAAGTTGGTCGGTCAATTAAATTCAAAAAAAAAAAAACAAATATTTCAAAACAAAACAGACTAAAGTTGGTCGGTATTTTAATTATCTAATCAAAAGATTCACCATCTGGGAATTGAACCGGGGTATATATTGTGACAGGATACTATTCTACCACTAGACCATTGGTGCATTTGTGTTAAGATTGTCTTATTTTTTATTTATACTCTTTAATTGTATTTTTGCACGAAAATACCGACCAAAGTTGGTCGGTTTTTTAAAAATGGCCGTCCGAATTTACCGACCAATTTGGTTTGTTTTTTAATATTAATTTTTATTTATTTTAATTGCAAAAACTAACCAAAGTTGGTCGGTTTCTTGAAAAATAAATTTCGCGGGACGCAAACATAGTTTTCCGCATTTTTGTGCCAAAGAAAACTGACCAAAGTTAGTCGGTTTCGTAAAAAAAATTAAATTAAAAATTAAAATATTTTGAAAAACCGACCAACTTTGATCGGTTTTTTGACGGTTTTTTGACCGACCAAAATGGGTCGGTTTGTGCCGAATTTCTAGTAGTGCGCCTCGGTATGAAATACATATTAAATGTATCAATTTCATGGAAATGACCATTACAAGCACCAACAGTCTAACACTATCTTGCTTAACCATTGTTTAGCAATAATGCTATTGCTGGCAAAAGGAATAAGGAAAACAAGCAAGACAATTGCACCAAAGTGCCCAGTTAGCTAAAGAATTCACACAATAGCAGCTGCAGCTGCAGAAATTGTAAAAATAGCATGGTATAGCCAGTTTTCGGACTGGTCAATCAAAAATAGTCAGCGTTTACCAAGTCAATGAAAAATAACCACTATTTTGCTGTAACAGAGACCGGTCCAGCATAATATACTGGAGTTCGGTGCACCTGTATGTGAACTCCAGCATATTATGCTGGACCGATATACTTTGCTGGCTCTAGTATAATATACTGGAGACTGGAGCACCGGTGCTCCAAACTCCAGTATATTATGCTGGACCGGTATACTTGCTGGAACTCCAGTATATTATGCTGGAGTTCTAGTGTACTTATGCTGGAACTCCATCATACTATGCTGGAGTTCTAGTGACTAAATTTCGATTACTTTTGAAACTGAGTTATTTTTGAACGACCAATTGTAAATCTAGCTATTTTTGAATTTCTCGCGTAAGAAATTTGGAGCGGGTCTTGTGGACAACCCACTTGCCTCAAATCAGAATTTTAATTAGAACTTTAACTCATATACCGTTTTAGGTGAATTTGATGTGGAATATTTTGCTCTTCATAAACAATGTTTAAGGTAGATTTGTACGTTAATGTATTCTGTGAGATTGTATACTATTCAATCAAATTATTTATTGTTTAAAATAAATACCAGTTACCTAGTTGATGAGTTTGCTACTAATAGAGAAATATTCCATCCAAAAGTGACTCTAAGTTTTTGTTTGATAGAGTTTTTATATGTGCAATTTGCTCACCACAAACATTTTCAGTCTTCACTGCCCTTATGGCATCGTTACTAAGACATTCATATTTTTCTATATAACACTACAAACAGCACCAAGAAAATCTAGCAATGGTTCTAATGAAATACACGCGCGCGCATATATATGTAATGTTCTGAAGATTCTTATGTTGTTATTTCTCAAAATAGACATACTAATCAATGGAAGACAAAGCATTAAAATACTCCATACCCGTCAAAGTTATTCTTTTTTGTCGTTTCTCGTAGGCATATTAGACGAAATCTTCGTCTTCGGCATCTCATAGTCATCGTAGATCCAACATGTGAATATGAGAAAGAAACCTAGCCAAAGACAACTTGCCGATTTTCATATATAATATACACAAGTCACATTTTCTTTTTCTATAGAACAAAGATAGAAAAATATAATCTCATTCTTCTTTTTTCGAAATGGTAATTGAACAGAAAGGGATTAGCTTAGCGGCAAGTCATCCTTGGCTGGACTTCACATCCATCATAGCCACATGCAAGACCTATGATGACAGCACGCATAAACACAACAAAAATTCACATGTCGAAGCTAAAGAGAGCTTCTTACATAACGTGAAGATATATGAAAAGAGCCCCTCTGATGTATGCCGTACTTGTCCTCAAAGAATGGGTATATGAATTGTGTATTTATTAAAGAAACAAGAAAAAAGTTCCCAAAAAGTAAATACCTTATGTGTTTCATTTTACATAATATGGAATTAGTTGATATGTTCAAAAACGAATATATTTTTCTATATTTAGAAACTCTTTAACTTTAAACATTTTATTTTATTCCTGATGACATACTTTTGTAAATATAGTAATGTCCTTGCATATTTAAGACAAAATGTTATGACATTTAATTATTGCCAATAAAGTTATTTTTTTAGGATCTTCACACAAATAGTAGGTCGGATCACTGATTATTTTTTCTAATTGGTATACATAAATTATACACTGATTTTATATGAATTACACGTATATTACACATTTGTCAGTTATTTATAGATTAAGCGGTTGGAAGTGCAACTATTTAAGTTAATTCATTTATTTTTTTGTTGTATACATATTCAACTGATGTGTCAACAATCTTTCTTTGTTAAATTTCGTGCTCAATCAAATACTTTCATATACAGTAAGATGAAATGATGGAGTAGTAAAATACAAATAAGGTCTCTATTAA